GTGCAATTATACACCATTTACTGGAGTTCGAATACCGAGAAAGGTAAAATCGATAAATTTTTTTTTTAATTTTCTTAATTTTTTTTATTTTCTATAATTGTTGTAAACATATGTACAGAGTATTTCAAAGTCGGGACACCCGACTTTAGCTTTTTTACTTGTTTTTTTTAAGATGCTTGATAAAAGTTTAATGAATAAACATTATAAGACTTTTTCATACATATAGTACATACTTGTATATACATATAACGTGTAAAAAATAAAACATCCCAATATTGATTTTACTGTTGTAAAAGTTTGATTGTTTCAAATGCCATCAAAATAGGTAAGTCAAATAAATAGGAGTAGGAATTGTCGGACTAATATTAAGCTACGGCACTTAGCAGTTCGAACAGACTGAGCTCATGAGCAAAAATGTACCTTTGTACATATTGTTCTTTACAATAAACTTGTATGTATGCTTTCAGCTATGACCGCTACAAAATGGTGAATTGTTTTGATATTTTGTAATGTGTTCGCTATTATATGTATACGTGTTTGTTTACTGATCGATGTCATATATAAGAGTGGATGGTTCAAATAAGAGTGAAAAATAAACGTAGCTTACAGTGCCATTCACTGTCTTGACGTATCCTGTACCTGTAGGGTAAAAAGGGTAAATTAGGTTTGTGCAAAGAATGTAACAGGCAGGAGGACGAATAGATCTTTTAACAGAATTTCGTCAATACTGTCCACATTTCAAAAGCTATATAAACCAAACAAGGCCACAACACAATCGATAGGATGGTGTACTTTTGTTTTAAATTTAATCTAAATCGGTACATTCTAAGAAAAGTTATTAGCGAAACAATTTTACTCCGGTAGGTAGGTAGGTAGGTGCGGAAGCCAGAGCTTATGAAAACCCTAACTCACTTAGGCCGTGTTTATTTGGCCCGTTGTGGTACCGCGTGGGCAAGTCCGCTTTCTATATCCCCGTGGTTGGGTGCATTTCTGTGCAAATTGTAACACCCATCCGGATGCCCGGATGAATTTAGAAATGTCTATCGGCTTTCTTTTTGCGAGATTTGGGAAGAGGCCATCTTCTAGAAAGCGTTGTCTGGTCCTAAACAAGGCTGGGCAGTCGCAGAAGAGGTGGGAAACTGTTTTCTCCTCTTCTTGGTCTCTACAACTTCTACAGAAGTCGTTGTGTTGAAGTCCTAGTCTAGCGGCATGGGAGCCCACCAGCCAGTGCCCCGTGATGGCTCTGATTACAGCTGAGCATTGGCTTCTGCTCAGCTTACAGAGTTTTAAAGTCCCTTTCCTATCGCGGATGGGCCACTTTTGACGTGTGATTTTGTAGTGGTTTGTGTCATTGGTCCACATTTGATTTGCAATGAAATCGAAGTGGTTCCGAATGGACAGTTTACAGCTGGCCATCGGTATACCGATGCTCTCCTTGTCTGGAAGGAGGGGAACGGTGGTACCTTCTCTTGCCAGTTCGTCGGCTATGCAGTTTCCCTCTATGTCCCGATGGCCTGGGACCCAATGAGGTAGACTGAGAACTGTGCTGCCATCTCGTGAAGAGATTTGCGACAGGTCTGCACTGACATCGAGTTCGATGTGATGTTGTCTAGGGATTTTATTGCCGCTTGGCTATCCGAATATATGCAGATTTCTCTGATGTCTGTGACTGCGCTTGGCAGTATGAAGAGAGCTTCTGAATGGCTGTGATTTCGGCCTGGAATACACTACAGGGATCCGGGAGCCTGAAGGCTTTTCTGATGCCGAGTTCTTCGCAGAAGACGCCTATGCGGTTGTCCAGCTTAGAACCGTCTGTATATATTTTTATTGAATTTTCGGGGCCTGGAGGGCCAAAATTCTATTCATCCCTGGAGGGAATAATGGTGTGAAAGGGAGTATGGAGGTACTTGTTTGGGGTACATTAGTCAGGGACTGAGGTGATTATGTCATTTCCTCTCAGGATTTTGGCGTGACCAGCATATTCCTCTGACCATTGGTTGGTTTCTGTCATGCGAAGGGCCGCCAGCGTGGCGTTCATTTTCCCCATGAAATGTATTGGGAGTATTCCCAGAATCGCATCTAGTGCGTCACTGGGTGTGGTGCGGAGTGCACCAGAGATCGTCAGTTCAGCTTGCCGTTGAACCTTATTTAGTCTCGGAAGAGACGAATTTCTTGTCAGCGATGGCCACAGGCCCTGTCTTCGATATTAAGGTTCCAGTCTAGCTTCCTATCTAGTATCAAGCCTAGATATTTGGCTGAACTTTTGAGGGATAATGGTACCCCATTCAGTGATGGGGGGTGAAGAGGAGGAATTTTGTATTTCCTTGTGAATAGTACCAGCTCTGTTTTGCTGGGGTTTACGCTTAGGTCACTTAACATCGCCCAAGTAGACAGTATACTCCGGTACTACGCCCACAAATTGCAGCATGGAGTTCGCTCTTCTTCTTTTTGCGTCTGCTATGGGCTCATAAAACTAACTGCCGGAAATTTGTCAGGGTATTTTTTGCTTGCTCGTTCTCTCTTGTTTGGAAAGTAGAAGTGATTTAAATCACTGATGTAGCTATCAACATTTTCTATACAGGAGAAAGGAACACATGCATATGCTCAAAACTACTAGGTCAAAAACAAAGCATACGAAGCATACTTGGTGACTATTCAGGTTCTGTTGTACAGCCGACGGCATAAGTATTTTGACAAAATGTAACGCTTTGTTTTGCGTTTTACTTTGGCGAATTGTAACATGTAACGGTTCTTTTATCTTTTCCAAAGCACATTCCATGTGAGCATAAAGAAGTGTGTAAAGTATTTTTTCAATTACTTTATGCGTTTCTTTGAGTTTTGCTTTGTTCTCTTTCGCGAGCTGATAAGAGCTGGACAAAAGTATTTTGACATTCTCTCTATTTAGTCTGTATCGATCTGTTATTGAGCTAAAGCTGAGCTTTGCGGCTGGTAATCGTGAATAACTGATTGCAACTGCTGATAAGAATAGTTTTGATTACTTAAATTGTTTAAAAATGGGTAAAATAAAAGAACTAAGTGAATTTGTTAAAAATGATATGGTGGCGAAGTATAACGCTGGTATTTCCGTAGATAATATCAGTAAATTATACAATACATCTCGCCAAACCGTATATTATCAAAAAAATAAGTATAATAAAAGTCATACCACAAAAAACGTGGCACGTTGTGGCAGACCGCGTAAGACAACAGAACAGAACGATCGCTTTATTCTGCGCCAATTTAAGAATAATCCGTTAGAAACACCTAAGACTGTTGCAATGCAACTAACTAACTACACAAAAATTAATATTAGCGAAAAGACAGTACGCAGACGTCTTAAAGAAGCTGATTATGGTACCTATGTTGCTAGAGTTATTCCTCAAATTTCTATGAGAAATAAGATCAAGCGCCTTGAATTTGCCAAAAAATATATTGACAAGCCTCCGTCATTTTGGCATAATGTTTTGTGGAGTGACGAAAGCTCTTTTCATTACCACTGTTCGAAGAAAAAAGTTTTTGTAAGGATTCCAACAATAACACATAAAAAAGAGTACCCGTTTGTGAAAGAGTAAGCCATGGAGGTGGGTCAGTAATGTTTTGGGGATGTGTCGCTTATAATGGAGTGGGCGACTTAGTTCCCATCAATGGAACCATGGATAAGGGCAAATACTTAAATGTTTTAAATGGTCACGCATTTCCTTCTGGGGACAAATTGATCGGAGAGTCCTTTATTTTTCAGCAGGATAACGCGCCGTGCCATAAAGCAAAATTAATAACAAATTTTTTGAATGAAGTTCAGGTTAGCACGCTGGATTGGCCACCCCAAAGTCCAGATTTAAATATAATTGAAAATCTATGGGTTTATATTAAGCAAAAACGATGTGCGAATTTAACAAGGACGCGCGAGGATACAATTTCTGAGGTAGGAGCACTCTGGAAGGATATTCCGTTGGACTATGTCCAAACTTTGGTCAATTCGGTTCCCGGACGGCTGCAAAAAGTTATAACTGCCAAGGGAGGATATATTTTCTATTAATAATAAATAATAAATTTTTTAACCATTTACTTTTGTTAATTAATTCTAATTAAAAAATATGTCAAAATACTTATGCCACCTTACATTTCTGAAATATGATTTTTGTTTTTGCTATTTATACCTTTATATATATAAACTCTTACAAATTAATTTCACAGTTAATAAACATATCTTTACACCATATTAATTTCAATATTTTTCCTTGGCCATTTAAAAAGTTATAAACAAAATCATATGTTAGCTTTCATGTCAAAATACTTATGCCGTCGGCTGTAGAAATAGTCTAAAATAAATTAATTAAAATAAATTACTGAATTTATTCTCCGGTGAGTTAGTCTTGTGAGGATACTTGTGCATATAAGCGGTAACCGTACAGAATTATATTTTCCCTTCCAGCAAAATATTTTATTTTTAGGAATATCACAAATATCATATATACAAATTTATTTAGTATTTATTTATTATTACTTTTTTAGATGTAAAAATAAATAAATAATATATACATTTGTATCATTAATTATTATTTTTTCTTTATTGTCCGGCCTATGAATATATTCTTTTCTCTATATCAATGGTCCGTCTAAATCAAATTAAAACTGCCAAGAAATCTATCTATTTTGTGAGTGAACTGATCGACCCAACAAACTAATGGAACCAGGAGAATGATTAGATGGTTCGTCAGAATAGACACTACATACGATATACCTATGTATATCGGCAAAGTAAAAATTTTCCCCTCTATTCTTTTGGATTTGTGCATTGTATATAAAAATACTGCATGTACATTATCGAATTCAACTATGTGACATAAACTTTTACAGCACTGGTCAATACGTAGAGAATTGTGATTGGTCCACATTTACCCAATCAGGGCGTTCCAGCAACTATTGCGAGATTTTTATGTCTCATTCTATCCTTCATGATAGCAAAACGACTGTAACCATAGCCGGCATTTGTAGATGTGTAAGCGGTGGATGAAGTTAGACGGTTTTCTGAAGTCTGAAAAGCAAGAACAAACGGTGTAAATCATTATGGCATATTTTCGAATAGTTACTATAGCCATTCTGGCAATAGTGCCCCTTATAAATTCAGAAATATATGTAGAAGAAAAGTTTGAAAATGGTAAGGTGACTACGACTTTAAATATTTATGCACGCACGTACATATGTAAATACATGTGCATAAATATACATATATAATATATATGTAAACTATATATATATTAGATATACAAACATATATACGTATGTATTTATGCATATACATATGTATGTGTATGTTTACATATACATATGTATATGCATTTTTGAATTTGTGCTCTTATTTTCAACCTTTTTTTATATTTTTTATTATGCATTGAAGCTAACTGGGAAGAAAAATGGATCTACAGTAAACATCCTGGAAAAGAATTTGGAAAATTTGTTTTGACTGCTGGTACTTTTTACAACGACGCTGAAGCCGACAAAGGTACGTATGCGTACAATATTCAAAATTCAATGAAATGTAAGATTTGCTCTTTATCTAAACTAAATTTTAAACAGGCATACAAACATCTCAGGATGCACGCTTTTATGCTGTGTCAAAAAAATTTAAAGGATTTTCCAATGAGGGCAAGCCATTGGTTTTACAGTTTTCTGTAAAACATGAACAGAATATTGATTGCGGAGGTGGCTATGTCAAAGTTTTTGATTGCTCTTTGGATCAGACCGATATGCACGGTGAATCTCCGTATGAAATTATGTTTGGTCCAGACATTTGCGGACCCGGTACAAAAAAGGTGCACGTTATCTTTAGTTACAAGGGAAAAAATCATCTCATCAATAAGGACATCAGATGCAAGGATGACGTGTATACGCATTTCTACACGCTTATTGTAAAGCCTGATAATACTTACGAAGTATTAATAGACAACGAGAAGATAGAATCTGGAAATTTGGAGGATGACTGGGATTTCTTGCCTCCCAAAAAAATTAAGGATCCAAGCGCTAAAAAACCCGAAGATTGGGATGACAAGGTATGAATATTCTTTTTATACTCTGTACATGAAATGTACAAGAGTATATTAGGTTTGCGGGAGCTGAAAAATGTAACAGGCAGAAGGAGGCGTGGCAGACCCCACAAAGTATATATATTATTGATCAGCGTGACAAGACGAGTCGATCTAGCCCTGTCTGTCCGTCTGTCCGTCCGTATGAACACCTGGATCTCAGAGACTATAAGAGCTAGAGACACCAAATTTTCCACAAAGATGCGTTATGTGTGTATTCTATACGAGTTTGTTTTATTTTTTTGATTTTCCCCCCCACTTCCCCCCTATGGGGGTTTTCCCGATTTTCCATTCGTATAATCGCCTATATCTCAGAGACTATAAGACCTAGGTACACCAAATTTTAGTCCAAGATGCCTTGTGTGAATACGCAGAAAATGTATATTTTGGAATTTCCCTCCCTCCCCCCTCTCCCCCGCAAATGCGATTTTCTCTAACTCCCGTAATTCTTGGAATTTCGAACTAAAATTTTGCAAATACCCCCAGTTAGTAATTATGTGTCCGTATGCCAAGTTTCACTATGTTAGACCGATTTACCAAGAAGTTATAGCCATAAATATATTTGCTGCTGCAGCGCTGCTCAAGCGCTGCCCGCGGCTGTTGTTTATGTTGCTGTTTGGTTGACTGCGAAAATGCTTACACAGACACGAATTGATGCGTATAGGCATACATACACTCACACAGACGCAATTGCTATGTAAATGTGCAATTATACACCCTTTACGTGAGTTCGAATACCGAGAGAGGTAAAATCGATCAAATTTTTTTTTTATTTTCTAAATTTTTTTTATTTTCTATAATTATTGTAAACATATGTACAGAGTATTTCAAAGTCGGGACACCCGACTTTAGCTTTTTTACTTGTTTTTAAATTTAATTCCTTAAATTTATTTAAAATTTCATGACGAGGTAAGAAAGTTAGTCGTTTTGATACAAATTTGTACCGAAAGAAAAACAAGAAACAAAAAAAGACTCTTGGCTGGACACTCCCCGTCGAACAAGAGGCTTGTCCGCTTAAGGGGATACCTAAATACTTACTACAGTACGAATGTTCTAGAAAAATTGTTCACCTAAGGGAAGTATCCGGATAAAAGACTGTTGTATTAGAAGAGTTTTCACTGTAAATATTTCGAATATAATATTTGAATTTATTATTATGATGTTTTGAAAACATAAATTTGTAGTATTTCATGAATGGTATGAATATATGTACAGAGATTTCAAACTACGTTCTTTTTATACTCTGTGAATAAAATGTACAAGAGTATATTAAGTTTGCGGGAGCCGGCATGGGTCGTCTTTTTTCGGCCCGATACAGCCACGAAAAGAACTTTACAATGATGCACGCGCACGAAATGAACTTTTACAAACAGGCACGCGAATATTTCGAATTTAATATTTAAATTTATTATTATGATGTTTTGAAAACATAAATTTGTAGTATTTCATGAATGGTATGAATATATGTACAAAGAGATTTCAAACTACGTTCTTTTTATACTCTGTGAATAAAATGTACAAGAGTATATTAAGTTTGCGGGAGCCGACACGGGCCGTCTTTTTTCGGCCCGATACAGCCACGAAAAGAACTTTACAATGATGCACGCGCACGAAATGAACTTTTACAAACAGGCACGCGAATATTTCGAATTTAATATTTAAATTTATTATTATGATGTTTTGAAAACATAAATTTGTAGTATTTCATGAATGGTATGAATATATGTACAAAGAGATTTCAAACTACGTTCTTTTTATACTCTGTGAATAAAATGTACAAGAGTATATTAAGTTTGCGGGAGCCGACACGGGCCGTCTTTTTTCGGCCCGATACAGCCACGAAAAGAACTTTACAATGATGCACGCGCACGAAATGAACTTTTACAAATAGGCACGCGCACGATGAACATTGTTTTAAACAATGCCCATTAAATGTAAAAACGAAAAATATATTCATATTGAGCAGTTCAAATTTGTAGTAAGCAATATTTACTTATGTATCTACATATATTTTAGCTAAGAAGCCGAGCTCGTCGCTCATTTCAAATTTGTCCCGAACTGGAAAAAACTCGTTCAGTTGTTTGAAGAGCTCACAGGGATATTTATAATGTTTTTGATATTTGCCTTAGCAATTCAAAATTTTTTGTTTTTGTCCTGGATCAACAGCACTACTTCTAATGTTACATATTTCAAAATCTACTTTTGACTTGCCCAGAAAAAAATTGTTGAATTATTAGTGTCCAAAATTTAAGAAAAGTCGTGTTGATTATTAGATGCTTGGTTTGCGGATTCAAATATTCAGGGGTGCCATAGAAAACTTCGGTAGTTTCGGCTACATTTATTTTTTAAAACTCCCAAAAAATACGTCGGTGCCACAGAACTTCGACAGATTTCATTTATTCCTTCCTCTCCAAGCCAGCTGTGAGACACAGCTGACGACGCTTACATTTCACTGACTAATCTCTATATATATAAAACAGTTTGTCCTGACTGACTGACTGATTGGCAATCAACGCACAGCCCAAACGGTAAGAGCTGAGAAGCTGAAATTTGGACACAAGATCCCTCTTATAGTGAAAGTGAGCACTAAGAAGGGGTTTCGGAAAATTCGAGCTCCAAAGGGGGGAAAACGAGGTCCAACGTTTGTATGAAAAATCTACAATTTTATATCCGATTAACTTCAAACTTAGTTTGTATACTCTCACAAAGAATACCAAAAAAACTGTATACTTGGATTTTCAATATATCCTAAATAATAATGATTTTCCGGTGGAAAATTTGGTAAACGAAAAGCTATTTGCAATCAACGCACAGCCCAAACGGTAAGAGCTAGGAGGCTGAAAATTGAACACATGTTGTCTTCAGTGGTGTAGGTGAAAACTGCATACAAAACTGCATACTCGGTTTTTCGAAATTTGTGTTGGAGCTTGAATTATTGGGGTTTTAATATTTATTCATTTTTTCAAATGAAAAGTTTGTGTTATAAATTTTGTCCGATCGATTTCAAATTTGGGTAATATAATCTACGTAACTAAAATTACAACTTTGCATTTAACGATTTTTAAAATATGCATTTTACAAATGCGGGCAGAACAAACAATACAAAATATCAAACAGTTGGGGACAACTAAGTATACATACACACACACACATACATACATACAATCAGCTGTTCGTGTAGTTGCGTGCAAACGGTTGAAGTAGCCAAATCAAAATGTGAGACACTAATGTGTGAATGTTCATTTGTACACATGTGTGTACATACATACATACATACATGTGTACAAAAGTACATTCTTCTTCCACTGACAGGGCAAGAAATGTTAATTAATTAAAAATTATTAACATTATAAAATAAACATTTTTATGTTATTTTTTCTTTGTTTAGTACATTTGACATAAGGGGTTTTTAGGACAACGGACTACAAGGGCGTACGCAGGTTGGGCAGGGGGGACATTGCTCCCCCTAGATAGAATTTCGCATTATGAATTACACCAGCACCATATGTATTACATACGTACATACATACGTACATACATACGTACATACATACGTACATACATACGTACATACATATGTACATACGCCTGTATGTATAGTATGTACATATGTATGTACGTACATACATTCTTATATACATATATAGGTTTGTATGTATGCAGTGGGCCATCGAACACTGTTGTTTAATTGTAATAAATAGTAGAACACTATTTTTTCAAATCAAAATTTTTAAAACAACAACAACTTCAAGTTACGGCTGTTAATTGCATACGCAAAATGCCAAAAGTTTACAGTTACCGTACACATACAAATCAGGGTTCGTAAAATGCGGGCAAAACCCGTTCGGGCCCGCGAGAAATTCTGCTGCGGGTTTTTTCGGGTCGCTGCCGACAGAGGCGGCGGGTCCGATCGGGTCGTCTGGCAGAGGTAACGGGTCGTGCGGGTACGCCGTGCTTCGCCGCGGGTCGCTGCCGACAGCAGCAGTGTCGTACGAGCCGGTCTGCAGTAGTAGAGCGCTCGTTCGTGGTAGGCAGGCATATGTACATATGTATGTGTGATGTGTGAAATTTGTATGATGGTATGCTTGTGTGTATATATTTTTTAAGGCGAAATGTGCGCGATCTCTTTCACTCTGTACCTGCTGCCTACTCCGTTTCAGCTTGACCCAGCTGTTTTGCCTACGTTTGCACAGTGGTACCTGATACTAGTAGTAGTAAAACTGTGACGTGCAAGATGTGCCAAAAATCTGTGATAAGTCGTGTCCAAATGTATTAGGCGATATTTTAATAGCGAAACTAAATGCGGAATTAATAAACGAAATTTCTTTCGAATAGTAAAAAATATTTTAGTAACAAGTTTATTTATTTGCAAATGATCTTTTTATTTCCTATAGCTAAAAAAATCGAGACATTCATTCAGAAATCTAGTATCAGGTACCACTATGCAAACGCAGACAAATCTGCTGAGTGAGGCTATAAGGGATGCAATGCATCGCGCACATTTTGCCTTGAAATATATACACACAAGCATACCATCATACAAATTTAACACATATGTACATATGTACGACCCGATCGGACCCGCGGCCTCTGTCGGCAGCGACCCGAAAAAACCCGCAGCAGAATTTCTCGCGGGCCCAAACGGGTTGCGAGCACATTTTACGAACCCTGATACAAATACATTTGTATGTATGTATGTATGTGTACAGTGAACAATCGAATACAGTATTATAATCAATAACTCTCAAACGATGTTTTTCGATGTATTTGTATTCGACATGTATTACGATATATCAACACAAGTATCGATATTTTCGATATATCGCATTTAATTTTATTATTGAGGTGTGGCCATGCATACATACATATGTACATGCATATGTATGTATGCCTGTATATGTATGTAGTATGTACATACAAAACAACAACAACAACTGCAAGTCATTGGCTCGCTCTTCTTTCGTTTTGACTATTTAATGTTAATTGCAAAGGCAAAACGCCAAAAGTTTACAGTTACCGTCGCTAAGCAACGATTGCGTAAGCGATAGTAAAGCAGAAACCGAATAACGGAGCTACGCATATTCTGCTTCGCATTGCGGGCAGATGTATGTATGTATATGATTTGTTTTTATTGATCTCAATAAATAATTAGATTTTATTATTTAAATATTCTGCTTATTGCATTCAAACTTCGATATTTTGATGGTATCGGTGGCTTCAACTATCGAAAGTTTTACTCTAGCAAATTGAGATGAGAATTGTCAGTGCTTTTTGCTCGTGGCTCATCGCTGCACGGCATTGACACGAGTGCCGTGTTTCATATTCCGAGTTTGTGCGTGACCGTATTGACTCAATATGGCACAAAAAGACTCAAATGTGAATTTAAAATTAGGATATACCCTTATAATTATTCCCCCTTTTTTGCAAATCGTCTATCTTAAAACGTTGCGTTATCTCTATATATAAAACAGTTTGTCCTGACTAATTGGTGATCAACGCACAGCCCAAACGGTAAAAGTTGAAATTTGGACTCAAGTATCCTTTCATAGTATCCATCATAGTGTAGGAGCACACTAAGAAAGGCTTTTGGAAAATTCTAGCTCCAAAGGGGGGAAAACGAGCTTTAAAAAATATTAGTTATAGTGGACATGTTCGTTTAACGAAATAGTTTGGCAAGAACAAAAATGTAACGGACTACTGAACAATTTTTTGTCAAGAACAGAAAATGTTCATTTAAATACCTTAAATGCCTTCCTACTGGTAACTTATAAGGTGAAAACATATGGGTAGGTTATGCACACACAAAATAAATACAATTGGAAACATTATATTGAGCCGGGTTAAGACGGGCAATACCTGCTAGTACTCGGATAAAACTTGCGCAATACTCGAGTAATACCCGAGTATAACTCGCGCAATACCCAAACAATACTCGAGCAATAACGGCACTATACTCGTTCGATCAAACTCTCATTCCGCACAGTCTTGTTTGTTTCGATCAGGACCCAGTCATCTTAAACGAAGTGACCGAGCCTGAACTGTTTGAAAGCAAACTAATCAAGGCCGGTACTTGTTCGAACCGACCGCAATAAGCAAAGTGCCCGATCCTGGTGTGCTCGAAAGCAAACCAATCAAGTCCGGTGCTTGTTCGTAAAAATAGAACGATGGCTCATGAAAGTTCGATCATAAGAAAAATGCTCAACTCGTTCGAGCTCGTTTGCAGCCAAGCAATGATCTTATTTGATTAAATTTTCAGCAAGGGTCGTTGCAGTTCTCTGGTACATATGTAAAACTGTGTTTAACAATAGAGTTCTGTAAGTGACTAGTGCTTTAAATATAAGTAACTCTACTTGTTGCACTAGGAATAATTAACAATAAAGTAATAAAAATAAAAAATAGTTTCTTTTCATCCGTTTTTTTGTAAATATAAAACAATATTAAATAAAGGCTTTTTCACATTTTCATTGTAGGCTACCATACCCGATCCTGATGACAAAAAACCAGAAGATTGGGACAAGCCTGAGCACATTCCAGATCCCGATGCTACTAAGCCTGAAGATTGGGATGACGAAATGGATGGTGAATGGGAGCCTCCAATGGTTGATAACCCCGAGTATAAAGGAGAATGGCAACCCAAGCAATTGGATAATCCAAACTACAAAGGCACTTGGGAGCATCCAGAAATTGATAATCCAGATTATGTTTCTGATGATAAAATTTACCTACGAAAAGAAATATGCGTATTAGGATTTGATCTGTGGCAAGTGAAATCCGGAACGATATTCGACAATGTTCTCATAACGGATGACATTGAGCTAGCATCTAAAACGGCGGCAGAAGTGAAAAACACACAAGCAGGCGAAAAAAAAATGAAGGAGGCCCAAGATGAGGCACAGAGGAAAAAGGATGAAGAAGAAGCTAAAAAGAGTTCTGACAAAGAGGAGGATGATGATGAGGAGGAAGAAGATAAAGACGAACCTAGGCCGGATTCAGAACAAAGTGAACATGATGAATTGTAATGTAAAGGACATATGTGAAGTATTTTGTTTGTATTTCAGCAAATCCTATTTAATTTTTTGTCAAGACTTAAAATATAATTTATATACACAAAATTATCACACAATATTTTCAATTCCTAACAACAGTTACATACTGTGTATTATTTCTAGATTAATATATGTATGTTTAGGGCAAGTCCATCATTTGCTACGCTTGTTTGCGAAGCATTTTGCTTTTTTCTTACATGGGTGATAGCAGTGGGCCAAAACTTAACACAGTTCTTATACATGTCATTCCAAGTACCAGTACAAAATTTCAAATCTCTAACTTCATGTTTCGAATTTATGCCAAAAAATCGGCTGTCTGGTCCAATGTGCAGTGGTTTAGTCTTACACAAGCTCTAACTGAACCGCATTTGAGTCAAAACACGTATGACTTGTACGGTGGCTTGCCTTGGATGAGGAACGTTGTATTAAAAGGGCCACAAAAATCAACAGCACATACTTTAAATGGGTGGAACGGCTGGAGCTTATTTTGAGGAAGATTTCCCATAATTTATGAAATCAACAAAGGGTTCCGTTCAGATGGAACTGTTCGGTGATACACTATCAGCGCGTTAATTGAATCAGACGCTGAAAAAAGCGTAACTTTGTCGATTTCGTCACCGAAATCATTTTCCCGGAAGACTTGAACAATTCTGTTGAATATAAATTTAAGTTCGCTCAGATCTGATCAAAAGGCTTCGAAACGTTTGTAAAAATCGAAAAACCGAAACGAACACTCTTAATTTTAAATGGGAGCTTTCAATAACTTCGAGAACATAACTGACATGCCGATCTGCGAGTAAATACAGCAGCTAACGCCTCTGAATCATTAGGCAGCTAGAAGTGAGCATTTACAGGGCACTTTTCTTCAGGTTTCATGAGAAATTGGCCTGCGAACCTGATGGGGCTATTGAACTCGTCCACAATTAGTCCTCTGGATACGAGGTCTGCTGGGTTGGACTTCGTTGGGACTTGTCGCCACGTTGCATTTTTGCACAACTCATACTGCCAACGGGTGTGACTTGATCCACTGTTCTTCATTATGTTTGAATGAATTGCAAACTGTATGAAGATGTTCAGGAATTACTATGAGCTGATAGTTTCTAACTGCTTCGTGAACCATTACGGTACATCTGCCACTAAGACAAACTTTCGCAAGAGCAAGCGAAGCAGTGTTGAATAAAGCTTCTCTTTACTTCTCTTTGGACCGACCATCAAAGTATCATTTAAGGCAATCTGAGTGGACGTGTGGCAAGATAATCAAGACTTTATGTATCTGATTTGAAAAGTAAACATACTTGAAATCAACCAGACGATAACATTTTTGTATTTTCGACAAATTTTTTTCGCAAAGTTTTTGCTTAGGTGAGAGATCTGTGTGAAATTTGTTGGCTAATTTTTATAGCCTGTACCCAAAGGGTGAAAGGCTATACTAGTTTTGTGCGCATGTATGTAACACACAGAAGGAGGCGTGGCAGACCCCACAAAATATATATATTATTGATCAGGATGACAAGACGACTCGATATATCCATGTTCGTCTGTCTGTATGAGCGCAACGATCTCAGGAAGTACAAGAGCTAGAATAACCAAACTGCTGACAGCGCTGCCCGCATCTGTGGTTGTTGTTGCTGCTTTGGTTCAACTTTGTGCTTCATACATACACGCATATAAATACACATGGACACGTTATGTAAATGTAAAACTGTACATAAACATGTCTTCTATGCATGTATTAAATAAATTTCCTTAATTAATTTAATAAATTAATTAATTTTTTTTAAATAATTAAATTTTTTTTAATTTTTCTTTTTTGTGGAGAGTACAGGCTATTTTACTGTCGGGCTTGCTCGACTGTAGCGTTCTCTCTTGTTTACTATCAAATTATTTGCACTATATAAACAAGATAGAACGCTACAGCAAGCCCGACAGTAAAATAGTCTGTACTCTCCACAAAAAGGAAAAATTAAAAAAAAAAAAAATTTTTTTTTTTAAATTAAATTATTAAAAAAATGAATGAATTAATTAATTAAAATTAATTAATTAAATTAAATTAGAATACATGTTTATGTTCAGTTTTAACAGCATACATTTACATCACGTACCTATGCGTGTATGTATGCAGCACAAAGTTGAACCAAAGCAGCAACAACAACAACAGCTGCGGGCAGCGCTGCCGACAGAGCTGCAGGCAGCGCATGAGCAGCGATTTTACTTATGGCTATAACTTTCTTCAGAATTGACCTATCATGATGAAATTTGGCACACGGACACATTAGTACTAACTGGATGTACCTACCAAAATTGATTTCAAAATTCCGAGAATTAAGGAAGTTATAAGAAAAAACACGACTTGCGGGGGAGTGGGGGGGTGTATCAGAAAAAATAAACAAACTCGATCTGCCTAGGGCTTATAGGAACCTTGATACCAATTTTGGTTATCCTAGCTCTTGTACTTACTGAGATCCTTGCGCTCATACAGACAGACGGACAGACAGACAGGCGGACATGGCTATATCGACTCGTCTTCTCATCCTGATCAAGAATATATATACTTTGTGGGGTCTGCCACGCCTCCTTCTGTGTGTTACATACATGCGCACAAAACTAGTATAGCCTTTCACCCTTTGGGTACAGGCTATAAAAACACATGAAAATTATGGAAAAATAGGGAAAAATGAAATTCAAGATAATGCAAATTTGAAATTTCCAATGCAATAAAATGTAAAAAAACTTGCAAAAAATAAGATTTGTGATCGTGGAACTAATATAAAGTTAGTCCCGCGCGACATCGAGAGTGTAAGGTTTAACAATTTGAAATTATGTTTTCTTACACAAATGATAATTTTTTATATACACACGTGTACATACTTTAAAATTAATGAAATCTAGATAAATAATACCGGCGGCGAAAAAATAAAGAGGCGTCCAAACGGAGAGAAAAGTATGTAATTTTTCTAAAGGGTGCTGCTCTCAGTTTGTAAATCAATTTATACAAGGTGCAATTCGAAAGTTCCAGGACTTTTTGAAGCTAGCGCCCCCTGGTGGCGCTATCTCTATGGTGCGTTAGAATTTGCTATCTTTATCGATTGTCCAGTGAGAATTTTATGACATTTCATCGATTGGAAGTGAAGTTATTGCGTTTTAAGTGTCAGTATGTTTGTGTTATCGGTCGGAAAATGAACGAGTGGTTTCAACGTTTTCAAAGTGGTCGTGAGGACATAAATGACGATCAACATGTGGGCCAATCAAAATTCGTGATCACCAAAAATGCCATCAAAACAGTGCGTGAATTCATCAAAAATCAGCCGAAATCATCATTGAAATTGATGGAAATGGAATTGAACATCTCCAAAACATCGATTTATCGCATTTTGACCGAACATTTGGGCTTACGAAAGGTGTGTGCACGGTTTGTTCCGCACAAATTGACTGACGACCAAAAATTGCTCAAAAATCAACCGATTGTGACCGATTATTTGACCAAAAATCACATTTTAACCATTAACCACTAGCCGTATTCACCTGATATGGCACCGTGCGACTTCTACCTTTTCGGAAAACTACATTTGGCCATGAAAGGAATCCGCTATGCTGACGTTGATGCCATCCAACAGCCGGCGACCGCCATCCTCAACGCTATACCGACAAATGACTTAAAAAAGTCGTTCGATCACCTTCTTGAACGTGCAAAACGTTGTATTCAGGCGGAAGGAGACTATTTTGAAGGCGACCAATAAATTTTTCAAAAAAAAAAAAAATTGTTTTCGTTTTTTTTTAATAAAAGTCCTGGAACTTTTGAATTGCACCTTGTAGTATCAAGTCTAGTTAATTTTCTAAAAAGAATTCGTATGCCTCTCAGTTGAACAGAATTTTTATACTCTGTACATGAAATCTACAGAAGTATATTAGGTTTGCGGGAGCTGAAAAATGTAACAGGCAGAAGGAGGCGTGGCAGACCCCACAAAGTATATATATTCTTGATCAGCATGACAAGACGAGTTGATGTCTGTCTGTCCGTCCGTATGAACACCAGGATCTCAGAGACTATAAGAGGTAGAGACACCAAACTTTGCACAAAGATGCGTTATGTTTGTATGTTTGTTTTATTTTTTTGACTTTCCCCCCACTTCCCCCCCACTTCCCCCCTATGGGGGTTTCCCCGATTTTCCATTCGTATAATCGCCTATATCCCCGAGGCTATAAAACCTACGGTCACCAAATTTTAGTCTCAGATGCCTTATGGGAATACGCAGAAAATGTGTATTTTGGAATTTCCCTCCCTCCCCCCTCCCATGCAAATCGCGATTTTCTCTAACTCCCGTAATTCTTGGAATTTCGAACTCAAACTTGGCAAATACTTCCATTTAGTTATTATAAGTCCAAATGCCAAGATTCATGATAGGCCGATTTAACAGGAAGTTATAGCCATATATGTACATAAGACCACACAAATACACGCATAATTATTCTACACATATGTACAGAGTATATCAAAGTCGGGATACCCGACTTTAGCTTCTCTACTTGTTTTTGAAGTGATTTTACTTGATTTTATTAATAATAATCACTGTTTGATCGCATTTAAATAAGAGAAATAATTAGAAATGAAATGGTGACTAAGTATGATGCAAATATTTCTGTAGTAACAAATAATAGAACACATACATAGACAAACAATGTATTACCAAATTTAAAAAAAAAAGAAGCATCATTCATAAATTAGTTCAGATCGGGAAGACCACGCAAAACAAAGCCTATAAAAGGCCTCATAATACTGCGGAAACTTAAGGAAAATGTGATGAATACACCAAAAGCAGTGTCGAGTGAGCTCAAAAAGCACCAAAAAATATCAATAAGTAGAAAAAATGTCCAAAGACGGCTAGGGGAGGCCGATTTTTTTTACATATATAGCTCGTCCAATTTAATTCCAACAAAAAATAATCTAAAAAGGTTAAATTCTCCAAATTCCAATAAAAAAGTCGCAATCGTTTTGGGAACAAGTAATATGGTCAGATGAAAGCTCTTTTGAATATCATGGATCGAAGGAGAAAATTTATTGCACGTTGCCA